GGGGCTGGCCCGGCAGGAGCAAGGCCCTGGCGGGGCCTGGGGTGGGCAGGGCAGGTCTGAGGGTGTCCGCCCCGGGCCGTGATGTTGCCTCTGGCCTCGGCCGTGCGGGTGGGATTAGTGCTCCGCAGAGCCGTGGGTGGGAGGGCCGTGAGCAGGGTGAGCCCCAGCACCTGACTGGGTCACGCAAAAGGTGCGTGGCTCTGCTGCTGTCTGCAGGCAAGTGCAGAGCACAGTCCTTCCCTGTCCCCAGCCGTGTGGGCAGCTTGGCTGCCTGCCCCGCGGGCTCCCTGCTTAGCAGCCACCAGCTGTTGTGGGCGAGGAAATCTCTGTGATTGGAGATGGCAGCCTGAGGGATGGGGGAGCCAGCTGGGTGAGGAAGTGCTGTGTGTTTGGAGGCAACCCCAAGACCTGTCTGCTGGCTGGGCATTTTGCCTTGTACCACACTGACAGCATGGGGACAGGTGAGACCCAAAGGCTGCACAGCAGGAAGTTGTTACTCAGCTTTGCACCTGATGTGTTTCAGAGGAAAACTCTTGACGGAGTGAGGGGGAATTGCAGGGAAGAGAGTGGCACTGGGGTTTGTGTCACCGTTTGACTCAGATTGACAACATCCCATCTTCTCTTTGATAGGGTGGGAAACATGGGGTGCACTGGTGGGTCTGGTGTCCTCATGCCCAGTTGCTTCCAGCCTTGGCATCAGCCCCACACTCATCTGGAGGGGCAGAGGGGAGACCCTGGCTCCTTTGAACAGCCCATCTGTATAATGCATCTTCTGCCTTTACACTCCCTGCTGCTGCCCAGGGGCTGTGCAGCCAGCGTGGCTGCCCAGGGAGCTGGTCCCTGCTGGAAGGACCCTGAGTTGTGACAGCACTGCCTGGCACCACACCAAGGCAGGTGCTTGGACCAGGCTCAAAACGTGCCTCAGCAGGACCCCGGGGCAGTCTCGCTGCTTAATATTGATGGGCACTGCCGGCCCAGAGGTCTGGGGGCCCCAGCCCTGCAGATCATTTTCCCAGCTGCTGGGCCAGCTCGGGTTCCTCCTTGCTCCCAGTGCAGCTCTCAGGTGGGACGAGGGGTTCAGTGAACAGGGGAGCACCGCGCAGCATCGCCTCGGCCTGCGGCTGCCCCTGGGCCGCGCCATCGCTGGTGTGTGGCATTATGCAAGGGGGACCCAGGTGAGAGGAAGGGGAAGTGTTGGGACTCTCAGAGTGGAGCTTTGAAGTCGGGAAAGGTGTGATGTGGCCTGTGTGGCGTGGTCTAGTGGTTGAGGTGAAGGGAAGCAGCATGCAGGCCCTGCTTGTTGCACGTGAGGAGAGGGACTAGGGCAGAAGTAACTCTGGCCCTCTGGAGCTCCACATACATCTTGTGTGGGTTCCCCTGTTCTGAAACCTGTTGGGAAGGGCTGGGTCTGGGATCATCCCTGGAACTGGCCCAGCATCCTGGATGCTCATGCCTTCTCTAGTTTCCTCTCAATCAGACTCTCTGTCTTGCTCTGCTGTCCCCCTCCCTGCCGGGAAAGACGAGATGGGACCAGGGCGTATTTGAGCCCAGACACTGAGGGGCCTGTGTCTCCCCCTCCATGCAGAGAGCCCTCCCACTGTCAGTGGTCCCACAGCTTCCAGGAGTCTGGGCTCAGCTCCCCCTGCTCTGCCTCCTTGCACTGGGCAAAGGAGAGTCCCCTGCCCCGCTGTGCAGGGAGCTGCGCGACCAACACCGGCACGTCTGTGAGAGGAGACCCTTCCTGAGGCACAGCCAGGCAGTGGGGTGCCCTGCCCACGCTGAGCTCCTCTCCCCAGGCGTGCTGTGGCAGGGATGAGGAGCCGGCAGCGGATGTTTGCAGCGGTGATGCGCCTGCTCCTCAAGTGCCTGCGGCTGGGCCGGCGGCGGCGGCTTAAGCTGGTGCAACAAGCAGAGCAGCTGTGGCATTACGGGCACCTCTGCCTCCGCTCCCTGCTCTACAACTCCTTCACCAACGGCGACGTGGTGCTCGACTCCCTCTTCGAGCCCATCTACTGGCTGGTGGATCACATCACACGGTGGTTTGGCGTGGTGAGTACCCTCACTGGCTAGGGAGGCACCCGGCTCTGGGGGCTGGAGCGAGCAGGGACGACTGAGTCTCAGGGCTGCCTGTGCTCTAGGCAGGAAGGGAGCGGGGCTTGCAGTGTGTGGTTCAGATTGTTTTCCTGTGGTTGTATTCTGTGTCTTTCCCCAAGTAGCCAGAGGCAGGCGCTACCTGTCCTGGTGACCCAGGCCCCTTTCCTCTAGGTGTTTGTGGCACTGGTGATTGGGCTAACGAGCTCCATTGTGGCCATTGTGTACATCTGTCTGCTGCCCCTCATCCTGCAGACCTACACACCTGCCTGGATCTGCTGGCACCTTGCCTACGGACACTGGAACCTTCTCATGATCGTCTTCCACTACTACAAGGCCATCACCACCTCGCCTGGGCACCCACCACAGGTGAGGCACCAACTGGCAGCCCAGGCTCTCCCAGCTGGGTGCTGGGGACCAGCTATGGATGATCATTGTGAGCAGCTAGACCAGCCTGGTGAAATTGTTGCAGGAGGCATTCTCCAGATCTGGACAGTGAGGCTGGGCAGTGGAGTTGGGGAGGGGGGCAGAGGGGAGATGTGGGAGCAGGGCTTGGGTGCACACATCTCTTTTGACCTGTGTGCAGGCCAAGGACAACCTCACCGGCGTCTCCATCTGCAGGAAGTGCATTGCCCCCAAGCCAGCTCGCACCCACCACTGCAGCATCTGCAACAGGTAGGGCTTCACCCTCTGCCCACTGCAGCCCTTGGGGCAGCCTCTGAGACCCCTCTCCTTTTCCCCACCACGCTGTGAGATTGGAGTCCCCTCCCTTCTGCTGGCTGCTTGCCTCATCTCTTGGACAGCCCGCAGGGCTAGGGGTGCTGCCTGTCCCCTCCCAAACATGGTGCTTGCACTGACATTGACACTAGCACTGCTCTCCTCCCTCCCAGGTGCGTGCTGAAGATGGACCACCACTGCCGTATCCTTCTGCAGTACTAACCCACAGTGCTCTCCCAGGGGAAGCCAGCTCTGCTTCCCAATTCTCTCCCTGCCCTGATCCTCTCCCAAGTCAGCCAGGAGGGGGAAGGCTGCTGGGGGTCAGGCCCAGAAGAACTGCCCTGGTCCCTGGGGTGGGTTTGGACCCATGACCTGTCACAGTTACACACCTTTAACCTCAGAGGCAGCCTGGCTGAACAACTGCGTGGGACACTACAACCACCGCTACTTCTTCTCCTTCTGCCTGTTCATGACCATGGGCTGCATCTACTGCAGCATCAGCGGCTGGGAGATGTTCCGGGATGCCTACGCAGCCATCGAGGTGAGGGGGCAGGCCCTGGCCCTCACCCTGCTGTGCACACAGCCTGCCTGGGCCCCCCAGGCTGACCTTGCAGAATGAGGCTGGACCAGCTATAGCCTTCTGGTGACTTTGTTTCCCCTCTCTCTCTCCTCCTGCGAGGTTCCCAGCTTACCTGGTCCTGTGGGGGGGGTGAGGGGGAAGTGCCCCCTTTTCTGAGACACCTAACTGGTGCCCTGTTTTCCATCCCCCTAGAGAATGAAACTGCTTGACAAGGAGAGACTGCAGGTGGCTGCCAACCAGGTGGGACATCCCTGCCCCCCAGCTGCTCCAGGTGGTGTGGGGCAGAGCTGCCCTGCAGGCTGGGTTCTGCTTGGGGTCCTGCTCTCAAGGAGCTCCCCACAGCCAGAACCAGCCCCTGTGCTCATCTCATGTGTTGGAGAGCTGGGGCTGGCCGGGCAGCTCTGCTACAGGCAGCACCTCCAGCAGCTTGGGGTCTTCTCCCTGTGCACCCAGCTTCCAGGGGCTTTGGCTGGTGGCAGCTGCATGCCATGCGCTGCCCAGGCCCTGATCTCCTGGGGAAGCTGCAGCAGTGAGTACACATCTCACCCTCAGCTGCAGTGTGGTGCAGTGTCCTGACCAGTCCCATAGTTGCTCTCTGCCCCCCAGCCCACTGCTTCTCACCCCTCTGCCAGCTTTCGGATGTCTTGTCTGTCTTGTGGCTGTTCCCATCACCCTGGCTGTTGTGTTGGTTCCAGCCAAAGTCCTTTCTAGCTGTTGAAGCTCTGCACCAGCAAGGTGTGCAGCAGTCCCCCTGCCTGGCACTAAGCTATGAAGCAGTTTGGGTAATTCCTTCCCTCTCTGGTCCTTTTTCAGACCTACTACCAGACCCCACCACCCACCTTCTCCTTCCGCCAGCGAGCTTTCCACAAGAGCATCGTCTACCTCTGGGTCCTGTGCAGGTAATGGGGCTGAGGGGCAGTGAGGGTAGTGGGGGAGCCAGTATGCAGCCCCTGACTCTGACATTACTCACCCTCTACCTTCGTGGGACCAGGCTGACCTGCTCTAGCAGAGACTTCCGTGCCCTACTAGGCCTTGGGCCACAGAGGAGAGATTTCAGCTCTCACAGGGGCTTAGAGCAGCCCACCCACCTATGCAGCCCCCTACAGCTGCGACAGCAGGGAAGGAAGACTTGTGTGCAACCTGCTGTCCCTTGCTGTCCCCAGCTCGGTGGCACTGGCCCTGGGTGCCCTCACGCTGTGGCACGCTGCCCTCATCACCCGCGGGGAGACCAGCATCGAGCGGCACATCAACAAGAAGGAGAGGCAGCGACTGCAGAAGAAAGGCAAGGTGAGTGCAGCCCCCAGAGAGGGAGGGCTGGCTGCAGCTGAGCCAGGTGTGACATGCATCTCCCTGGCTGGCAGGTCTTTAGGAACCCCTACAGTTACGGTGGCTGGGATAACTGGAAGGTGTTCCTGGGTGTGGACCTGCCAAGGTAAAGCTCTAGGGAAGCCCCTGCCTGGGAAGGTGGTGGCTTAGTGGAGCAATGGGGTGCTGGGACATGGAGGCTCTCCTTGGGCAGCTGGGGCAGTCCCCTGAGCTTTGTGCTGCTCCCGAGTTTGCAAAGCATGGAAGATCTGGGCACCAGGTACCATGTGGCTCCTCAGCCCTGCCAAGTGGCCTAGCTGAGAAACTCTGCCATAGTGGCAGCTTAGGAACTGGCTTGAATTTGAAGAGCTGAGAAGCACCCAGACTCGAGCTTTTTTTCTGTGGCCTCACTCCTGTCTCCACAGGCACTGGCTCACCCGTGTCCTGCTGCCCTCTCCTCACCTGCCCCATGGGACAGGCCTGAGCTGGGACCTGCCGCTCTGCGTGATGAAGCATCACACGCCGCTCCTGGCCATCTGAGGCCTGGCTGCTGCAGATCTCCCTCCCCACAGGCAGGGGAGCACACAGGGGCCCTGCTCCACCACCACTGCTCCCTTTGGCCCAAGTGCCAGGGTGAGTGCTGGGATGTATGGCTGACAAGAGCCACAGGAGACGGCGCAGTGTCAGTGGCTGGATGCCTACTCTAGGCTCCTTGGCGGCTGCAGGCAGCCCCAGAGGGAGGTGGCAGAGCTAGCACAGGTACTATCCAGCTTGCTCTCCAGCAGGGCTGGGTGCAGAGGATGGCACCCCCACCCCCCGATCACTCCCAGGGAGTCTTTTTAAGATCATCCAATAAATAATTCTTTTTAAGGGAGCCTGGATCTTTTCCTGGATGGGGGGTGCAGAGAGGGACCCCTGACCAACATGGAAGGAGGAGTAAGGGCCTGCAACCAGCAGCACCTTTAGCTACTTAGCATATGGAAGGGCACTGGGGTCACGGCCTGTGCTGCACAGAGACCCCTTGCAGCATTACCAAAACAGATAAATTTATTCCTCTGGCATGTGGGTTGCACACACCGTACGTGCATGCACAGGCCTGCCCGCTCCACCACACGTCATGAGTCTCTCTGTCACTGTCCCTGGCTGCAGCAGAGGCTGGGGAAGCCACAAACAACACCACCCCCTTCC